AATGTGCCCCTCTACCTTCAGCCGCCCGAGTCATGGCTGTACTCACGAGAGCGCGAGCTCAAGAGGTTGATGACGATGAGGTTGCACCCATGGGACCGCTAGAGTTTCAGGTCGAACGCTGTAGACGGATTAAGGTTCATCAAGAGGAAGACGAGTATCTAGCGGAGATAAGGGCGTTCCTGAATGACGACCTGGATAGGTTCTCGTCCACGCGCTTGAAGAAGATAAGTAAGGTCGCCGATCTGTTTATCCTGGATGACCGAGGAGTGTTGTACAGACTTCCACACTCTGTTCGTGGGAGACCACGAGACGCCGTGGATAATCTGAGATTGGTAGTCCCGAGTTCACTCCGGGAAGATATGTTGCATCACGCGCATGAAGATTTCCAAGGCGGACATCAAGGGATCACTCGGACACATGAGAAGTTACGTACCGAATTCTACTGGCCCGGCATGTATGCGGACGTCCAACATTTTCTGAAAGAATGTGTGGATTGTGCCAGTGGAAAAGGGGCGCCCCCGAATGCTGGACCTTCGCCAGGAAACATTGAACCACGGTATCCCTTCGAAGCAGTATCTATGGATTTCGTGACGCACATGCCCGAGTCAACTAGGGGAAACACTTTTCTCTTGTTGTTTCAGGACATGTTTTCAGGCTATGTGATGTGCAAGCCCATGTCATCCACTACCGCTCAAGATGTCGCTGAGGCTTATGAGGAGCAAGTGTTTCAGAGATTCGGGGCGTCTTCCATGATACGACACGACCAGGATCCGCGGTTCATGAGTGAGGTGTTCACGAGGTTCCGAGAACTCTTAGGTAGTCGACAGCGTGCTACACTCGGATATCGTCCACAAGCGAATGGGCAACAAGAAAGATCCGTGCAAACAGTCATTCGGAGTGTCCGGGCATATGTCGCCGAGATGGATCAATCCGACTGGGATGACCACGCTGAGCGACTGATGTTCGCCCTGAATGTCTCGTTCGACGCGACTAGACTGGACACACTCCTTTCTACATGGTTCATGGTTGGGATGCCCGAAGTACGGTCTCGGCAATGTTAGGACTGAAACCTTCGAGCGTTCCTGAGCGTAGCGCCTATGAGTGGCGAAAGAAACTACAGCGTGAATACAGTTACGCGCTCGCTTGCGCTGAGGATCTCAAGAAGAAGGCCAAGAAGATGCGCTCTGACGAACAAACCCGGAAGTGGTTGGAACTATCAGAGAGGGTCAAGGCTGGTTTTGAGAAGGGTGACTCCGTTTGGTTGTACCTCCCGAAAGTTCAGACTGGGTTGAGCCGGAAGTTAGCACACATGTGGCACGGGCCATTCAGGATCGATGAAATTCGGGATGACTTCCGTGTGAAACTGAAGGT